ATCCATGACTTGGTTTTGAGTTTGACGATACCCCTTTCATGTAAGCTTATAAGTTTTCATGTAAAAACCCAACCGGTGAATTTTGTATCCGTCACATGAAATAGTTTAAGCGAAATTATAAAAGATTTAATTAGTTGATTAAATTAAAATTTCAGTGATTTAATTTAATTAACTGATATTTGAGATCTTAACATGGGGAGTTAAAATAAGTGTTAGTGAATTTTCGAAATTCACATTGAGGAGTTCAATTGTAGTTTTTAGTGGAATAAACTGTAATTAATTATAGTAAAAATTAATTCATGTAAAATTTTGAATTAATACTATAATTAGTAGCCTCTTATTATTTCTGTGGTCCCTGCTATGCCTAGTAAAACCTGGACTGACTTGGGTAAAAAGTGACTTGGGAGAAAAGTCATCTGGTAGAGTTAGAGTAGGATTCTACTTGTGCAAGTAGAATCCTACACGTTTTTGAGAGCCTTAATTTTGGCTGAAAACGTGTCTACTTAAGGAAGACAATTTTTACCCAATAACTGACCTTTTAGAGCTGTATTGTTCTTGCCCACTCAAAGCAAATTCATCCAAGGTCTTCCTAGGACCATAGCAGAAGACTGCAACCCTGGATTCTTGTTGTGTGGAGAATTTGTGCAACGATTTCAAGAAGTTAGTGCTTCTAATCGAGTAATTATATCATTGTCTAGTTTACATGTATTTGATGCCTGAATTGTATGCTTGCTTCCGTTGCGCATGCTCTAACAGTGATATTATTGAAGCTATAATAATATGAACAAAGCTGAAAACATAGTATGTTGTTCTTTGAAGTATGTTACATTGTACTCCCATGAATTACTAAGTTCCCTTTATATATTCAGGGATATGAAGTTTTTAAGACATTATTTTATAATAAATTATGCAGACCGTTGGCTTCTTTTTTTGACTTAATCCCGTGATTTCTGCCATAATGATTGGTTAATAGCGAGAATCACGGATCCTTGTCGGATGAGTTGGCGAAACTTTTCTCCGAGGCCGTTAGAAGCAGGATCGGTCGTGCCTTCGGTAAACTCGAGGGCAAATCTGATGGTCTTGTCGAATTTTGAACCTCAATATCGAGCTCGATTTCATCTGTAATTACGATTTCTAATAGATGATTCGAGCCTGGTCTATTGTTCCAGATGCTCGATCAAGTATCGAGCTCGATTTTGCCCGTACACAAGCTGCTTTTGCTTAGTTTCTACGTCTGAGTGATTGGAACTATGGAAGCTTAGTTGTAGAGTAAACCTGCTCTCCCCTGCCCCATTTAATATCTTAAATTTTTTAGATTTGATCCGCCCCGCCTTGCCCCCGTCCCATTTATGCATTGCTCTGCCGTGCCCCATTAAGCCTTTGCCCTGCCCATTGCCATCCCTATTTGATAGAAGCACTAAATTAGTGGATTTCTAATACCAAAAAGCTATCGCCTAAACATCAAACCAACCTTATTAGTCCCTCAAAATTTCTAGTATTATCTTTGCTATTTACTTTTACATCCCAAACAAATATATTGAAGTATTCCAGAATAATAGTACTCTAGTGGGAAGGACCACCCATTAACATCTTATCACACTCAAAATAGTGCTCATTCCAGTAAACTTTACTTATTTTTTTGAAAGAAAATATTTTTCTCACCACCTTTAATATAAACCAATAGGGTTGTAAGTTGTTTGAAAACTTGGTATCTCACAATTAACTATTTCCCCTTTTCACATTTTCGTTTATTATTCTAAACGCAATTTGAAATAGAGAGTATTTGTTTGCAATGCCAATGAAACTAACTATGAAATACTGTAATTAAATCTCTTGAAAATAAATTTGCTTTACTTCTCTAGTTATGTGAAAGTCATCAGTCATATATTATGACTACTCTTGATAATTTTGATTTTTCATAATCTAAAATGGCTGACAGACATGCTATAAAACTACAAGCAAAACACCCAGCTTAAGCTGTAATCCTTAAAAGAACAATAATTAGACCAAAAAAGACAAAAGCTGTTTTATTTTCTTTGAATGAATATTTTCATCACTTGGCCCTATATGTACGTAATATTCATAGTATCATATGAGTATTAGACTCGCACAAGGTAATTGTGTTCTTTTTTTAATGTCAACTTGTCACATGATTCGTCCTTTTCTTTTTCAATGGCTCCACGCCTTGTCCATTCAAAGTTCTCTCATGTCCACACTAATTTGCTTTTTTATTTTTGTTAAAAATAAGTGTTCATTTATGTAATCAAAAAAAAATTAATTTATTTTTATTCTTTTACTCTTATGTGCATATTTCTAAAATTTTTTTTTACTCCTCACGTTAATATTTAATTAAGGGTAGTTTGGTCATACTAGGTATTTTTGTATAAAATTTAATATTTTCTTAATGGATATGAACGTGCCTAAAGTAAACTAGTCACTTATTGTGGACCGAGTGAATAATAATTTTCGTCACAAGCAACATTTGGTTACTATTTTAATTTTTAATCTTCAAATCGTAAGTGTGCTGCAATGATTTATCATTTTCGAAGAACAAAAATATCCTTTTTCCATTTATTTGTGTAGGCATACAAAAAATAACAATTTTATGCATTTTTGTTACTTTTTTTTATAATGTAAAAAATAGATGTAATATTTAGGCGACTTTTGAAGGAAACAAATTTAAAAAGTAGAAAGGCGCGGAGATTATCTTAGCATAATGAAAGCCAAAGCTAATGACTCTTTTGAGTTGACGGAATTTAGAATTTGGATCCTTTATTATAGATAAAATGGTCTCTGAATTAAGTTTTCATTTGTTCTTTTCCTAAGTTTAATCCAGTTATAAAAAAAGGTTTTGCTAAATCTAAATATTTAAACCAAGAGTGTAAAGAGATATTTTAATGTCAAAGTTTACCTCGTCGTTATGTATGTAAAAAACCTATTGGTTATTGGTAATGTATGAATATATAACAATACAGAAATGTGATATTTCTTGCTTAAAAACCAAGGAGTGGAAAAGTTAGAATAAAGATAAGGGTTTCAATACAAAGAAGAGAAGAGGCTTCACATGTTTCTTACAATTATTCCATTACAGTGATTTGTCAGTGGAATCTTTTGAAACATTAGCATCATCATAAAACCACAAGTTTCATGTTTATTATTAAAATTAATGTTCAAATATTTTGATCATGTATTATTAAAAGGATTGTTGACCATGAATTAAAGGAGTAATTGGTATAAAGTTTATACTTTTACCTTTTAGTATGAGATAACGAGAAATAATATTTAAGATTGAATTTCAAAATTAGTTTGTATGCAACTCAAATAGTTCTTTGGTTATTGTGTTATCTCTCGTCGGATAACTTTGACCACTATAATTTTCTTTTTTTAACTTTTTATCTTTAAATTTTGAACCCTGTCTTCTATAATTTTCACTATTCACTCGCTTTATTGACCATTTATCATACCTCTTAGTGCCTTTTGTTTTTAATCTTTCATCCACTAATATTCAAAGTCTACCTCAACTATTCAATAGTCCATTAATTCCTAATGATCGAAAAGCCAATTACCTATAACATATTGAATTCTAAAAAGGAGATATCTTCTTTTTGGTAAGTTTTACAATAACTATCACTTGCTGAAAATTTGTAAATTGCTATAGAAAAATAAATTACGGGAAATGGGAAAGATAGTGCCTTGTAAACAGAAGGCAATCATTCATGTCACATGGACATTATGTTCTTTGCATTTGGAATATTTGACCCTTGCTTGAATTTTTGTTAACAAATCCATTTTCACATGGGAGAAATTGAGATAATTAAAATATTAAATATGAAATCCAATCGTTGATGAAAAACCATGTTAGGATTTCAAGAATTTTGGGTCAACTACTATGATTGGTTCCACTTTTTTAGTTTTCACCACGTTAAATTTTTTTGTTATGTCAATCCACTAACTACAAATGAATCAATCAATAAATAGAAAGTAAATTTGTAGGTAATTAGAAAATTTAATAACCTGACCTAAAGTGGAAGAATATTGAGAAATTCAAGAAAGTGGACTTTATACACTAGCAAAATTAACAATTACTACAACAAATTGCCACCTATTAAGATTGAAAGACCTTCTTAAGGAAACAAAGAAGAAGAAGATCACGCCACCTTATTCCAGAATTATTTCCATGTTATTCCTATTTAATCCAATAATTGAAGCCTTTCAAAGTCACGTTAGCTCCACTAGACCACTATACCTTTCTTTGCAGTGTTATTTAATAACTAATCATTTTAGTAATCTTCAATCAAATCAATAAAACCTTTATATATTAGGGTTCTGCGACTTACTTAGAATTAGAATCAAGATTGTGAAAATTTGTCAAACCAAACCAATAATATCCAATTAAAAATATTAATTTCCACTTATTCCTTATATGTCAAACAAATACAGTATTCCATAAACATCAAAGAACAATAAGGTGTAGGGCAAATATCACTTTTAGCAAACTATATATATTTGATAGTCGAAAAAAATATAGAATTTTTTTACATTACTTATATATAACATGGAGAAAAGAAATATATATATATATTCGACTATTATTTTGAAGACGACTATACAATGTCATTTTTCTTAAATTTGTACCTCGAAATATTACTAACTCTATCCAACTGTCATATCTCTACATTAAAAAACATTACCATCCTTTTCCTTCTAACAAATTCCATTAATTCAATTCTCATTTTAGCAAGACCATTAACGTTTTTTTCTAAAGCAAGAGATTACTTAAATTAAACTAATGGATTAGCAAACATAAGACAATAACTATTCCACGACCGCCAGTGGGCTCCACTGATTACGTGGCAATTATCTGTAGCGAGTAGAGATGGGTTTTACTACTCGCGAGAAGACAGGTTGGTCACGTCTAAGCACGACAATACAATTCCACCGTGTAACTCGGCTTCAAACATTTCAAGAATCATTTGTTTTTTCTCTTTATTAAAAAGGACATAATATCCTTAGTCGAATTCTTGTACTTCTGTCTTCTGCTTCATTAAAAAACACTCTCTTTCTTCTCTTTATCTCAACACCTATACATATTGGTAATGGTGGGATTTTATTTTTTCTTTTGAAATTAAAGGTTTGAAGGTGGGGGGAAGAGGGAAGGACAGCGTTTGAGCAGTTTTGAAAGTGACTGAATATGCAAAATACCCACCCTTTTTGTTCCTTCTTTGTATAGACTTTGGGTTCTATTTTGATCAGTTGCTTTTCTATAAGGACTATTGAACTTTCTTCATTCTATTGATTGAAAAGCTCCAAATTTAAAAAGCCCATCTTTTTGTCCTTCCTTCGTTTCTTTCTTTCTTTCTTTCTTTCTTCTGCTTCGTTTGAGCATATCTGGTATCAAATACCCCTTGTGTGGACTTGTTTTGGAGCTTCATTAATGCAAAGATGAAGTCTTTGAACACTGTAAGTAGCCTCTTTTCTTCTTTACTGGAGTTGTTTTGGATTAGTGGGTGGGTGGTGAGAAGGGGTTGGGGACTTTCAAGTTGCATACTGTTACAGTTTCAAGTTCAAACTTATCCTTTATTAATCATTTTGAGGTTGTTTGTGTCTTTTTATGCATAAGTAGTTACAGTACTTTTGTTTTGTTGGTTGACAACTTGACATGGTTAATGCTGTTTCTGGGGTTGGTGAAAAGCAAGGGAAGAGTAAACAACAGTAAAAATGTCATTTTTATAAAAAAAAGTTTTTGAAGTATTGTTTTCCTCTGTTTGTTTCAAGTTATTGGGAAATTGAAGGTCCTTATTGTGGAAGTACATGGTTTATTTAAGTGTTCCAGAATTTTTTTGTTTTTTTCAAAATTATGGGGATTTTGAAGGAAAATGAGAAGCATTGAATTGGGCAACTTAGAATTATATATTGATATGATAAGAAGAAGGGTCAATAGTGTCGCTTTCTATCCGAATTTGTGTCCATTTTACATGTTTGTAAGTACAGGGAGGAATAGGCAGTTCTTGTTATGGTCCCGCTTCTATTTCTTTCACTTTGTACTGAAGAAGCAAAAGTGAATTTGAGCATCTGGAAAACTAGATTGTCTCCTAGTGGATCACATTGTGTTGTGAATTCTAGCTTTGAGAACTCAATTATTTTCGTTAGGTTTTTATTAAAACTTTTTAAGAGTTTAATTCTTTTATTTTGGTCCTTGGACTTAATTAAACTAGATAATGGATAATGACATTAGGATTATGAAACATAACTTGAACTTTGTTAGATAATCAGTACTAGTAATAGTTTTCTAGGAAAGGTTAGGGTGTACTCCCTCTGATTCTGTTATTTGAATGAACATTCTCTAAGCTTGCAATAGCCAAAAGCATAAGCTTGGGGGTCAAAACCAATTGGATAATCAGATATACAATCTACTGCCTCTTCAAAACCACTTCAATTTGCTTGAGCAATTTCTGTCTCTCACAAGATCTAAGTTCTTGAAGCTCCAGTTTGTGTGCGGTAAATTAATGTACACTTCGTAAGACTTTTTTGGTAAAACCTCTACGGTGTTCTACTAAACTGGCGTTAACCTAAGATGCGATACTTCACCAAGTCATCCTGGAGACTCATTCTACTATGTTAAACAAAATAGAAATATGAGTTAAAAATTCATCAAGATACTCTCTCTATCCTGGTTTTAATGTCCATGGTTGACTTTGTATGACTACAAATATGAGAGTTTAAAATTTTGTCTGTTTAAAGCTTTTTTTTTTTCGTTTTTATGAAAGGTAAACTTAAAATTTGTCTGTTTAAAGTTAATAGGAAAAACTGGGCAGCATATAACTTTATTCATTACACAACAGTACTTGAGAGTTTTCAGTTCACGAAAGTGGATATGTAGTTTGGATGGGGAGAAAACTAATACTTCATTGTCATTGCTAAACATTTCAGATTATGAAATTCGTTTTCCTATTTAACGAGGTATCTTGTGCTCATTCCATTGTTTCAGGTTTCTGTGCCTGATCCTAAAAGTAGATCATGTATCTGCAGCCTCCTCATGACCGTTGCTTTAATTTTTGGTGTCTACTTCACCGGAAGTGCTTTGATGGCTAAGGATTTCAGGGTACAATTTTTTTATTACATTCAGTTTGAGTGGTTTCACTATTATCCGTTTTAATTCGTGTATAATTTACCTGATACCAGATCGCCTTCTAGAAATTTTTTTCCTTGCCTACTTGAATGATTTGGTTTATTGAAGTGTTAAATTTGGTATCACTTGCACTCATCCTGCAAAATCAAGTGAACTGACATCAAAATTTCGTTATCTTCAACGGATTGACTATCATATATTTTTCTGGTCAGATGCATTTCGGAATTTTAGTTAGGGACATTTAGGTTTGTAGATAAAGCAGTTATGTTGCTCCTTTTATAACAAACTGGCATTCATTATATTTTGGTGTAATGTTTCAGCTTTTTGTTTAATATCACAGAAAAAAGGTACTTGGTGCTAAATGCTTTAACTACTAATTTTAATTTTTGTAGGCATTTTCAGGTTTGACAGTGAACCATGCACAGCAGAATGGACAATGCAGAAAATGCGAGGTTTGTTTCTTCAAAAGACGGCTTTTTGCTGATGTGTTGTTAGCTTTTCTGAATTCGACTCTTCCTATTTCTGGCTAGACTCACCAAAATCTACATCATTGAGAACCCTTGGTTTTAGTCTGAGTTTTTTTTTCCAAGATTGATTTCATTAAATCACCATGGTAGGGTATAGGCATTCTTGCCCATCACGGCGATGCAACAATCTATGCAAAACCTTGTTCTTTCCTTGCACTGAAAGTATAAATGAAGCAAAACATTTCTTCAAGTTTGTCGAGCTCTTCTAGTTTCCTTGAAATATCTATTCCTTTCATTCCAAATTGTCCAGAAAGGTGTATGGGCTAGCTTTCGATATTGCTTTCTCTAAGTGTCCAACTTCCTAAATCCTGAATTGGCCATAGTCTTTTCCCCTTCAATTTGTTACTTTTCTATACAAGAGTTTCTAAACTATACTGAAAGACTGCAACTAGGAAGTGAGAAACTCTTAAAATTGAAAGTGAGGCTTACTGCTTTTTTCTCCTTCATGTCCTCCCTTTCTAACATTGTATAGACTGGGTTTTAGCTTTTCTGTGTTCTATAGCTTCAGTTTTTTCTTCTTTTATGTTACCATATGAACTATCTGTTTGATTGTAGGACTTTGTTATTACTTGCATTAGACTTCATAATGTTCTTCTAGTGGTTTGCTACTCCTGAGTATTTGAAGAGAGGGTGTTGTGAAAGTCTTTCTCTTTGCTCTTCCTGAGTTCCTTCGACGAAAATATGGAAAGTCTATTTTACTTGCTTTTGGATTTATATTAATGGGTCATGCCCCTTTAATTTAGTTTCTGGAAAGGGTTAAATATATTAGAACAAAGCTTAAGAGGCACAACTTAGTTAGAGATTTCTCTTTTATGCAGCAAAATGTCTAGTTCTCTTTAGGACTTCACCTTTGAGATGGAAGATTTCAAGTTTAATTGACGTATCTGGAGGAACATAAGTAATTTGGTCGAGACTAGTCTAACTTCGATTGATTTGGGATATATAGTCCTACAGTTGCAGGATTCACCGTGAATTAACCTCTGAATTTCATTAATTAGGTACCACCGAGACAGGAAAAAGAAGAGAGTCGCGTGACAGAGAATATGCAAAATAATAAATGCCAGGTTTGAGGAGCATCTACTATTATTTAATTTGGTTTTTGATCTTTGGCTTCTTTGAAGGTTCTCATTTTATTACTCACAGAAAAAATGCAGGCCGCTAGGGAGTGAGGCACTCCCAGAAGGAATTGTTTCTAAAACTTCGAACCTGGAAATGCGACCATTGTGGGGAGATGTTGAGGTAACTAATTATTTCCGTCTATGATTATCCACGAGTTTTTTGGCATTTACGTTGATTATCTATAATCTTTGGTTCCTTGCATGGGAATGATTATGATTTCATGGATCGTCCATGTATACTCCATCCTTTTGTGTGCTTTTTTAAATACTTGGATTTCATCGGTTGATGTGTTTGGAAAGCCTTAGGTTTTCTTTTTGATGAATTTTCATGGAAAGCTTTCAGTCTTGACTATGATGGTCAAGGAAGGTCATGAAGGCCGGGCACAATTATCCTTAGGTGGTAAAGTGGATGGCCAGAAGGAATATGTTCGTCAATGTGATCACTCAGACAGACGATATTTTTTTTAATGTGTGTATGCGTGAGTATATGTACCTACATATGTGTGTATGGTGCTATATCCTGTGTATAATTTTGGTCTGCAAACCAAAGAGTGGTTGTCAAGAAATATGGCAAAACTTCTAGACCTTTAAATTTTCATGAATTTTTACCGTATCAGTTCCCTTGTCCACAAGCTGAATTATTTTACTTGCTACTTTCTGGTATTTTTCAATGCTTCTGTGTATTGTTATGATGCATTACTTTCATATTCAGAAGAAGTCTCCACATTCAGTTAACTTGTTGGGGATTGCAGTTGGAATAAAGCAAAAAGAGATGGTGAACGAAATTGTTAAGAAGGTTATGATTCTTAATCTTTTGCTTCCTGTTTAGCTTTTGAATGTCATCTTAATATCTGCTTCTTAAATTGCACATGTAACTTGTTGCAGTTTCTTGAACATGACTTTGTTGTGATGCTTTTTCACTATGATGGAGTGGTGGATGAGTGGAATGATTTGGATTGGAGTAGTCGTGTCTTACATGTCTCTGCTATGAACCAAACAAAATGGTAAAGTTCGTTCTAATCAACTTTGTTATTGATTACTGGAGTTGCCTGCAGTTTTTCACTCATTTAACTCTGCAAATAGGTGGTTTGCGAAGAGGTTTCTACACCCAGATATAGTTTCTGAGTACGACTACATTTTCTTGTGGGATGAGGACCTTGGAGTTGAAAACTTTCATCCGGAAAAGTAAGTCTGTCTTACAATGCTGTCTTCTATATCGTTGCGGAATTCAGAGTAGAGAAACTGTTGGGTGCTTAAGTGACAACAGTTTGATTACTGAGCTTATGTTTTCATACTAAAAAGTTAACAATGATTGATGATTGAGAAGATTCAAAGAAAAAGTTTTGTGATGTAATGTTACATGCAAGAAATAACCTACAAGGATTAGGTTAGTTTGTAACAAAATAAAATTCTCACCGCGAATGCTTTATTCAGGTACATATCTATTGTTAGAGGAGAAGGGCTGGAGATATCACAGCCAGCACTTGATGCTAGTAAATCAGAGGTACATCATCATATTACTGTACGCAGAGGGAGATCCAAGGTGCACAGGTTAGACACACATTTTTTATTGTTCACTTAATGGGACAGTAAATTAATCATATATAAGTTGAATAACTACTCGTAGCTGAAGCATCCCCATTCTCTATACTCATGAAACAAGCTCACAGACCAAAGGATTAACCCCGTTTGAGTTTGAGATACTGAGACTGAAACTGGAAGTTCCTTTCCAGTTAGAAAATCAAAAAAATACTGTTAAACCTATATTCGCTATGTAGTGTGTTTTCCTGCAACCCGGCTTTACAGTAGGGACATCTCTTCGCTCTAGGCTCTAGCATTTGGGAAAAAGTTAAATTCCTGATATTATTTTTGTCTATTTGCTTTCGCATGTACATTGTCTTGTTCAGAAAGCTGATTGGTAATTTCTTCGCTTTGATAGGAGGTTCTACAGATTAAATAAAAGTGGTCAAAGGTGTGATAACAACAGCACAGCACCTCCTTGCGTGGGGTAAACAACTGCAATTTTGTTTTCTTCTCAATTTAATATTATCTGATAAGTGATAACAAGTTTCTCCGAACTAAGTCTATCTGCTTTGAAACTCCTTTTCTTTATAGCTCAGATGTCTTATTATGGTTAGAAATAAAAACAACATTGTCTTTTCATTTATATTAAATCTGTTGTGCAGGTGGGTAGAAATGATGGCTCCTGTATTCTCAAAAGCTGCCTGGCGTTGTGCTTGGTATATGGTTCAGGTACCGGAGCTTTTATTATATCCAATGGTTAACAAGCTAATCAGCTGACTCGTGAATTGACGAATACAATTGTCCCAAATTTTTTACTAATTAGCTTGACGGGAACTGCAAACCACTCTTTTATCTTTCTTTTTTTGTGGTTATTTCCCATTTCTTTTGCTTTTTACAGTTATCTCCTTCATGATTGTGTATGTGGTTAAAAAAAGTGTACACTAAAGAACATGATTATCTAATTGCTCCTTATGTTTATAGCATATCACGTTACCTTTTTAATCCTCACAAAGACCTGCTCAGTGATGATATACTAGTAATGTGTAACTGATAAACTTGCAGCTCCTCTTTTTGCTCGGCTTAAACTACTTGTTCTTTCTCTGCAGAATGACCTGATCCATGCATGGGGCTTGGATATGAAGCTCGGCTACTGTGCGCAGGCAAATCCTAATTAGAAGTTTTAAATTACTTTTGTCCTGTTTCACGTCTCTTTTGGCATGATAGTAATATGTGTTATTAGTTCCCAGGGTGATCGTACCAGGAAAGTTGGTGTGGTTGATGCAGAGTACATAACTCATTTGGCTGTCCCTTCTTTGGGTGGTAATTCAGATGTAGAAATGGCAAGTAGTTCTTCCCTTCATTGATTATTGATCCTCTCCGCACAATTTTTGATGAAATTTTAACACTATAGGGCAATATGATGATAAGTGTTTGGCTTGTGTAACACTTCAGTTTCTAATTTGTGTAGGTAAACAAAGAATTAGATCATTCACTTCAAGGGAAGAACTTAACTGATTCTGATGCATTGGTATGATCCGCATATCTTACCTACTTATTCACATAAATATTCTGCCTTTGGTATTTCTTATGAATGTAATATTTCTTTTGGAATTGCAGGCCACTCCATCTTTTGAGAAATTTGATAATAGGTCTTTGGTAAGTTCAAATTCTACTTCATAAAGCATTTCTTTTGTGATGTCCATACTAACGCGATACGCATAGCTGTTTCAACATTTTCCTTCAACACTAACCAGAAGCACCAGTAGTTCATTTGTTATTAAGTTGCCGTTGTGCACAAAAAAAAAAGGGGGCGGCCCAGTGCACAAAAAGCATCCCGCATTTATGCAAGTCCGGGGAAGGGCCGCACCCCAAGGGGTGTGATGCAGACAACCTACCCTAATGAAAGCATAATGGTTGCTTCCACAACTCGACCCTTTACCTATAGTCACACAGAGACAACTTTACCGTTGCTTCAAGGCTCCCCTTAGTTTGGACAACGAAATCTTGTGCATTTGTAGCAGCTTTTTGCTGCAGAATCCTTCTTCTCATGTTCATTGTGTTTAATGACATTATGCAGGTCAGAAGACAATCATATATCGAAATGAAGATTTTTCGAGATAGGTGGCGTAAAGCTACCAAGGGAGATCAATGTTGGGTTGATCCATTTCAAAGTCAAGAAAAAGGAAGAACATCCACATACACATAATGACATTCTCATAAGCTATACATTCAGTTATCTATACATTTGTGTACATAAGTTTGATTGCCTCAAGAGTAAATAAATACCACACAAAACTGATAGAAATTCAGACTTCATTTTATTTTCTTTTTTCCATTAGCAATAATTTTTCTTTCTCACATATTTTGGACTTTCCAATTTGCTCTAAAGAGAATTTTGTGTATTTGTAATTATCATTTTTTTTGTACCTAAGAATAATGCCAATGTTCTGTATATGTTTATGACATTCAATTTGATAACCTTTCCGGGGGTCAATAATAACATTATGGTGTTAATTCTTGCACTCTTACATTTTGTGATATGCCTAGTTTAAAATGAATATGTGTAATATCTAGCAAATCTTGGGTGTGTTTCGTACGAAGGATTTTCAATTTTTTCATGTTTGGTTGGCTTAAATGTTTTGGAAAACATTTTTCTTATGAACTCATTTTACTCCAATGGAGGAAAATATTTTTCTTATCAAAAGAAGAGAAAACATATTCCAAAACTCTTTCTCAACCTTCTCCACACTCACCCACCCACCTAACCCCACCCCCTCTATCCAAAAAGGCTTTTTTTTTTGTTTCAAATTTCAGTTTTTTTTTTCCTTCGCCTATAGACGGCGGCTTGGTCACCATCCACCCTACACCCCGCAAAAAAAAAAAAAATTCTGCACTCCCACCCCGCACAAAAAAAATGTTTTACTTTTTTTTGGTAATTTTCAAATTTCTATTTTTTTCCCTGCACCACCCACCCCCTCCCTCTCCACCCCGCACAAAAAAAAGTTTTTTCTTTTTTACTTTTTTTTTTTGTAATTTTAAATTTCTATTTTTTATTTTTCTGCACCCTCCTCCCCCGGCGCCCCTGCCCCCTCCCCCGAGAAAAAAAATATTTTTTTTATATATTTTCAGTTTTAGTTTTTTCATCTTTCGGTTTACAGGTTCGAAATTTTATAAGTTCCAAAGTTATGAGTTCAGAGGTTTATGTGTTTGGAAGTTTACGGGTTTAGAAATTATAAAGTTTACGGGTTCGAAATTTCGCGGTTTCGAAAGTTTAGCGGTTCAGAAGTTTATGAAATTTGTGGGTTTGAAAAGTTGTTGGTTCGAAGTTTATGACTCATGTTTATTGTATCTAAATTATTTATGAATACTCTTGAGAAGTTATTTTCCTTAATTTGCGTACCAAACACAGGAAAATGAATAGATTACTATTTTTTTTCCAAAAAAATATTTTCTCGGAAAACATTTTCCACGAAAAATATTTTCCGTTATACCAAACACACCCCTTATGTTTTTCACTTTCATGGCTTGACTTTGTGTAATATGTAGTGTACAACATTATTCAAAATTTCTCATCTTCAAGTGTATTTATATTCAAATGTTGTGTTTTGTAATATAAGGGGGTTAGGTTAATTGAAATTGAATGACACAAGACCTGTTAGTGTAGCATAGTCATGTTAATATATATCTAAGGTTTTCTTAAAAAAGAAAAATATTAAAAATAACAAAAACAAACTATTAGTTTGATTAATTTAACAATCCGTGCATAAGTAGAAAAAAGGGGGGAGATTAGGAAATGAAAAAATATAATTAAATTAACCAAAAAAAAAATTGATATACTTTTGGATAGGAAATAACATGTCGTGATGTGAAAATGAAAGCGCATCATAATTAATCACCTCTAGTGGTATCCATAAGCACTAATATATTTTTTCTACTTTGTTTAACTGCTTTATTTTTGAATTGCAATGCATTTTCTCATGCTTTATTTAAATAAACAAAAGGAACAATAAGTCGACTTGTCTAGTGATAAATATGGGTAGGTATTTGGGCAGCTTGGATTGATATAAAAATTTCAGTTTGGATTTTTGGTTTCGCATTGAAAAAATATCAATACAAATCTAATCCATATAAGCTCAAATTAGATTGGATTAAGTTCGATTTTGGATTAATCGGTTTGGATATTTCGAATTTTCGACTTTCAACTTATAAGTTAAGATATTTTTTCTTCTTACAAAAATAACATCCAAATAAAATAGTCAAGTTAAATTGCCTAAAAAGTTCATCATTCTCGTTGCAATCATTTAAATAAAGTATTCAAATAATGAAATCATCGTTAAGGAAATATAACAGAGACATTAATAAGATTGATAAGAATTAGCTATAGTAAAACCATATCCAAATAAAAAGTATTCTAATAGTAACTTAGTAATTAATATTGAATATACGAGATAATACCTTATGGGTAAGGTATTGGAGTTATTATTATTTGCATATTGATAATTGACTAAATATAAATATAAAATTTTTGGATTTCCGAATATCTAAAAAGTGCCAAATCAAGCCTTAAATCCAAAATCTAATTCGTAATCCGAAAAATCAAACAAAAAATTTTAAAAATTCGAATTTCGGCTTTGCCCAAACTATGTTCATAAGTTCATTCCTATTGACAAAGGTGTTTCATATAACTTGTATATACTACAGTATTTATTATGTAGACACAAAATAAATATAATGCTAAGTACATTGTTAATTGTATTTTTTTTCAATCATTAGGTTAGATTAATCGTTAATTTCGTTTTTATGTTACCAAAATTACAAGTAATTACAGCTTTTTCTGAAACAAAATTATACTAGGTATTTATACGTTTTCCACATAGGTCGCTGAACGAATGAGCGACCTACGGGTAAACTAAAAGCAACGGTGTCTGATCAGTGTACAGAAAATCCAAAATTATATCAACCACACATTAACATTTCCTGCGTTAAACCACGCTCTCATCATCTCTTCACTTTTTGTCTCTCTGCAAATTAAACTCCACCTCTAGGGTTTAAGGTTTAAGCCTCGCACACATTTCCACTCTCAGTATTTCACCTAAACCTTACTCGCGATGTCACTCTATGGCATCCTCCTACGCTCTCTCCGCCGTTCCTCCGCCGCTGTCAGAACTCAACTTACACCGTCCGTTCATCCTCACCCAACACCACAACTACCACCTCCTCAAAACCCTAACTTCCTTCTCCCTCAGCGATCATACGCATTTTCTTCAGCCGAAGAAGCCGCCGCCGAACGCCGCCGTCGCAAGCGCCGCCTCCGTATTGAACCACCAATCAACGCCCTCCGTCGTGATCCACTCCCGAGGGGACCGCCTTCACCTGACGACCCTCGTTCCCGCCTTCCCGATACCACGTCGGCACTGACCGGCCACCGGCTTAACCTTCACAATCGCGTTCAGTCTCTCATCCGCGCCGGGGATTTGGAATCCGCAGCTGCCGTTGCTCGTCACGCCGTTTTCTCAAACACACGGCCGACTGTATTCACGTGTAATGCTATCATCGGTGCTATGTATCGCGCCGGCCGATACAGTGATGCTAAGGCTTTGTTTCAGTACTTTTTCAATCAGTATAGTATTATTCCTAACGTTGTTTCATACAATCATCTCATTGTGTCACATTGTGAAGCTGGTGAAGTTGATGAAGGCTTAAAAGTATACAGTCATATTCTTGAAAATGCACCTTTTAGTCCATCTGCTGTGACATATCGCCATCTTACTAAAGGATTAATTGATTCGGACCGTATAGCAGAAGCTGTAGATTTGCTTAGGGAAATGCTTAATAAAGGACACGGTGCGGATTCTCTAGTTTATAACAATTTGATATTAGGGTTCCTGAATTTGGATAATTTAGAGAAAGCGAATGAGCTGTTTGACGAGTTGAAAGAGAGGTGTACTGTTTATGATGGGGTGGTGAATGCTACTTTTATGGACTGGTTTTTCAAGCAGGGGAAGGTAAAAGAGGCGATGGAATCGTATCGATCCCTTCTTGATAAAAAGTATAGGATGGTTCCTGCGACTTGTAATGTGCTGTTGGAGGTGTTGTTGAGGCATGGGAGGGAAACGGAGGCGTGGGTGTTGTTTGATGCCATGTTAGATGATCACACACCACCAACGTTCCAGGCTGTGAATTCAGACACTTTTAATTTAATGGTGAATGAATGTTTTAGGTTAGGGAAGGTTTCAGAGGCCTTGGACACCTTCAAGAAGGTGGGGAAGGGCCTCAAGACCAGACCTTTTGCAATGGACGTTGCGGGTTACAATAATATGATATCGAGACTTTGTGAGCTAGAAATGATGGAGGAAGCAGAAAAATATTATATGGAGTTGTGTAACAAGTCATTGAGCCCAGATGTCACAACTTATAGGACAATGATTGAGGCATATGTGAAGATGGAGAATGTTGAAGGCACGTTGGAGAAATACACGAAGATGGTGGAGGCAGGGCTGAGAGTCATTCCAATCTATGCTGACAAATGGTTTAATTTCTTGATTGAGAAAGGCAAGGTCGCGGAGTGCGTGCCTATTCTGACCAAGATGGGTGAGAGAGAACCAAAACCTGATGTCACAACTTATGATATTGTGATTAGGGCACTATGTGGAGAAGGCAATTATGATGCGAGTTCCAATTTAGTAATTCAGATGATAAACTATGGCGTTGGTCTCACCAGTGCCCTCAGGGAGTTCCTGTTAGAAGCTTTTGGTAACCAAGGTCGTCGTGAGGAGATTGAAAGAGTTTTTGCTACAAAGCCGACTTACTTCCCATCTTCTAGACCATCAGGGCCACCTCGAGGGCACGTTCCATGGCTTTCACAAATACCTAGACAATCAGCAGGAACTTCTCAGGTTCCAGGTACTCTATTCCCACCTTTCTGCACATTTCCATATTCCCTAACTTTGTCTTCTTCTTTTTCTGTAATTGCTGATTTTACATAATTCTTTACTATATTTTTTTAAGTTTGTCCAACTTTTGGCAAAAAAGAACCTCTTCTGCCAAGCAGGAACATAGAGAACAATTTAATCCACATCATTGTACAGCACTAGGGTCATTATCTATACCCAAAAGCTGCTGCGCTGATCATTCGCTACTTGTCAATTCTTTTATGTCTTTATGCAGCCCAGCAGACGTCACCACCTTCTTTTTTCGAGGGACAAGGATCATCACAAGTGCAAAGTCATCTTTCAGCTCGTAACTCATTGTGGCAGCAAAATTCATCTCCCTCTTTCATGGGAGGACAAGGATCACCACAAATGCAAAGTGCAGCATATGCTCCTAGCTCCATGTCGCAGCAGTCTTCATCACCTTCTTTCATGGGAGGACAAGGATCACCACAAATGCAAAGTGCAGCATATGCTCCTAGCTCCATGTCGCAGCAGTCTTCATCACCTTCTTTCATGGGAGGACAAGGATCACCACAAATGCAAAGTGCAGCATATTCTCCTAGCTCCATGTCGCAACAATCTTCATCACCTTCTTTCATGGGAGGACAAGGATCCTCACAAATGCAAGGCCAGCAGTCAGTGCCTAATCCTAGCTGGCAACAAGCTTCACCACCTTCTTTCATGGGAGGACAAGGATCATCACAAATGCAAGGCCAGCAGTCAGTGCCTAATCCAAGGTGGCAACAAACGGCACCACCCTCTTTTGTTGCTGGACAAGGATCACATCAAATGCAAGGTCAGCCTTCACCTTTTGCACAAAATCCGCATCAGGCATCATCACCTTCTTTTACTCAACAAGGAGCTTCACCACCATCTTTCATGAATGGACAAAGATCACAGCAGATGCAAGGTCAACAAGGAGCTTCACCACCGTCCTTCATGGATGGGCAAAGATCACAGCAGATGCAAGGTCAGCCATCAGCTTTTGCAAGAAACGTGCAGCAGTCCTCACCGCCTTCTTTTGTGCCACAACAAGGAGCTCCACCACACTCTTTCATGGCTGGACAAGGATCACTGCAAAGGCAAGGTCATCCACCACCTTCATTCATGTCACAACAAGGAGCTTCTCACATGCAAGGTCAGCCATCAGGTTTCACACATGTTCCACAATGGTCATCTCCATCCACTTATATGGCAGGACAAGGAGGAAACCATCAAATGCAAGGTCAGCCATCAGGTTTCACACAGACTCCACAAAAGGCATCACCTTATTCTATGGACATACAAAGAGAGTCTGCTCATACTCCACTAAATGAAATCTCACATGCTTCCCAATCATTTAGAGGTGCCCTCGAAATGCAAGGTCCAGCATCAGCCTTTACACAAGTACCTAGGCAAAATATAAGTCCTCAAGTAACAAAAGAGGCATCATCCCAAGGGGACAACGTCGAGCAATACCCCCAAGTGGTAGGCCAAGGGAGAATGTGATTTGTGAAGCATAGTTTCTCTGGCGGGCCTGCTTTTGTTACAGTTATCTGATTAGTACTGCAGGAATAGGAAACATCCTCTTGATGTCACATGCTGTCATAGTTGATGTGGCTACGATCATGGGTTAATATGCATCAATAGAAATCATTGGAAATTTTGTAGAGAAATTGATGGGTTTAGGGTGATTTGAGTTGCTCATAAGTGAATTACCTGTCCTTGGTGAAATGAATTAAATTGTAATATTGCTGAGAAAATATTCCTATTTATTCTACATCTTGTATTCTGAAATTTTCCCCTTTCATATTAATAAAATTCGCCTCATCAAAAACAATATCTCAGTTGTGATTTTTTTTTAAAATTTTGATGATGTCTGTCAAATAATGTACCTAAAATAGTCTAAACCACGAAACACTTACTCATTCACATGTCTGTAATAGAGCAAAAGAACCAAGCGGCATATATTATCATTAGGGGTTGTAGATAAGCTGCTACTTGGCAATGTAAAATGTAAATCATCTGTCCCTTTCTTGTTGATGTTCAGCAATGACCGCAGATTACTGCTTGGGGACTTAGAGTTGCAGCCTTTGGGGTCTCACTCCTCAGGACATCAGCCGCTGCACCACATTCTTGGTTGGTAAGTAAACACAACCTTCATTATGATTATAAGTTTTATAATCTGGCAGACTGGTAGAAGTCAGCCCCAACACTTTGTCTCTACGCCAAGTGAGAAGCTTTCTTTTTGAGCAACCATTATGATCATCATCCATTATCTTGTGCTTATTATGTGTTTTCCATATCTCACTTCAAAAATTATGTGTTTTCCATATCTCAGTATCATTGACTGTCGATAATTCATTTTCGATTTGTTTCTGAAATCAGAACCCTAAAACGATTAAAGTTACCAGTTTTTTTTTTAAAAAAAAACCCTAAAACGATTAATCATTACCTGATAAAAGAATTATTTTGATGTTGGTGCGGGGGGGNATGGGATGAGAAATGCTCCAATTGGTAGATATCTTAATTACCAGCAAGCCTCCCAACAACCTATTGGGGATGTTGGGCCTAACTTCGGCACCTTATGATGCAGAATAACTAATTTTTCCTTTTGACAAGTCTTTAGAACAGTTCCTTTGTTCTAAATTTGCTTTAAAGTATACTAGACCTGATGTTAATTTAAGTAATTTAGAGTTTGACTTGTCAGTAAAACAGAAGACACTGAGCTGCTTGCTTGTGTAGATAGTTTTTTTTTTAATATATAATTTTGGTCAGCTCTTTTTTTAATTCTTTCAGAAAGTTTTAACTTCTTGTGAAAGATGTTTCATTCGACTCCGTAACTTTAAGAAAAATCAATAGTATCAAGATGCAAAAACCTTCCTATATGTTAATGTTTGTTCTCATATTAAGTCTTGATTATCCAGTGAAATGATATGTAGCTTTATGTGACACTAGAACCTGCAAAGAATAGAAGCTTCTATTGTGGACGTTTTCCTTGAAGAAGAATAGAAGCGGTATAAAAGATCTTCAGTAGATTGCTTGTCAGCTACACAATAAGCAAAAATCATTAGTGTCTACAGTGATGTGTGTACTTATGTTGAAGTTGTTGGACTAAATGGTACAATAATTAGTTCCCAGAAAAGATGAATGTGTACCTATGCTTTCCATTACAGTTAATTTGTTGAAAAAAACCTCAAATGCTTTAAGCTGCCTAAATGATCTATATTTGCTTTTGCTCTCTGGTTCCCTCGTGTTTCCGATTTGCTACTTAAAGCTGCTGGGACCCCATTTATCAGAGTAGGTGTCGTTGGATCTGGTACAGCTAGCATATTTGATGAAGCTGTTCAGTCTTCAAAGCAGTCGAAGGGTAGTGACTCAACTTCTCACTTTTTCTTTTGACTTTTACAAAAACAGCATACGCCACAAACATGTGCATCGGGGCTGACACTTGTATTTGTTATTCATTTAGATCCCTTGTATTTGCAGAAAGTGTCGAAGTGAAATATGACTGATATTCTGTTTTTTCGTCACTGACTGAAAACTTCTTTTGATTTCATTACCAGCAGCTGGTAAGGTTTTAGCTGCAGAACATCCAAAGAATGGGAATGACAAGTGCACTGTTCTCTGTCCTGCTTCAGCAAAAGCGGGCACTGACATTGGTGTGCACGATATTGCTCCTCCTCTATATGTTTCTGTCGCTCCTCATTCTCCCATTCATCCAATTTTTACAGAAATCTCTTTTTCCAAGTATTCACATTCTGATTTCTTTCCAAGTATTCACTAGTTTCTATAGAGGTGTCTTTTTCTATTTTCAACCATTATCTGATAAAGAAAAAGAGAAAGAATAACGACAAAAATCATGGCTTCCGTTCCTATTTGCAAGCCGTAATTAGTACACAGATCCAGATTCATCTGATATCTGCAAGACTGCAACTGTCTCACCTTGATATTTCGTGTTTAGCATAGAATTTTTCCTCAGCATATGTGAAGTAGTCTTGAACTGACATGCGGCTTCTTTATTTCCAGAGGAAGGACTTTTTGAGCGGGGATTTGAGGTTATTCGGTTGAAACACATCCACACTGGTACAATATTTCTTTATTGCATCATTGGTGAAAGAAATTCATTTTTACTCACACGAGACTAGTGTGCTTGCAAATTTGGTTATTTAGTAGATTGAGCCGACTGCTATTACAACCGTGCATGGGAGCTGCTACCACCAACATCCTGTACAGCATTCTGGCGGAAGTCGACCTTATACTTTTAGCTCTTCCTGACATGTCCAATACTCTCAGAATTATGTAACAGTGTTCTTGTGAAAGTCAGCCTTATCCTTTAAGCTCTTCCTAACATGTACAACTAATACTTACCAGTAGTATGTAGACGAATGTGTTTGTCAATGTAGACGACGCTTCATTTTTGGGTGGTTGTCTATCAAAGCACTTGCTGGTATAGCAGTTCACTAATTACACTTCAATTTTATCTTAAGGTCGTATGTTTTTTCTTTAAAAAAGCCCCTTCTTTTATGGAATGTGGGATAGAAATGTAGGAGGAGAACTGTTGTGCCCAAATGGGAGCATAATTATGACTTAGTTAATTCCTTCAATACGGCATTGTTTCCTCTAAGATAATTACATTAGAAAGCTTTGGCGTGGGGTTACATGGGAAAAAAATATTAACGACGAATGATATCTGGTACCAACTTTTACTGCGAAAAAAGCTACAAAACCATCTTGAATATCGTTATAATTCCCCCTACTACAAAAATAGTGGCAAATTTCACCGTCTGCATATTTCCCCTCAATTTTAAGAACCTAAATCCTCTCCAAGAAATTCTGTATCATGTTACTACAAGCGTCAAATAACTCATAATGCAGACTTGAACTGGTGTGCAAAAGATCTAACATCAAAATCAATCACAAGAAAGGGTGAAAAAAGATACCCTTATCTCCCAAAATTTCTCTTCAAAATTCCAACACGCTAGAACTGAGGTTCAGTAAAGGTTCTAGAGCACTTGGTTCAAACTTTCTAGCAAAGAGGTAACAGATATGTGACTTCTCTGAGTTGTATGAACATGCTGTTCCATTGTTCCTTATCGACTGTAAGAAACCTTCAGTAATATTAACCGCGCCGAATGTTGCAGGGTGAGGACCCCCTACGGACCAGTCAACATACGTCACTGTCCGGTTGGCATTTAAAGGTCCATAGAACAATCGAATAAAAGTAGGAATATAGTGCTCATCGGGGTAGCAAGCAGGTGTGCAAAGTCTTCTGAACATATCGTAGTATTTGGTATCTGAAACTACCCTAACGGCTAAAGTTCGGTTCATCTCAAACCATTGAGACCCTTTTCGCCAATCAGAAAGTTTGATATCAGGTTTCATGCGGCGGTTATAGCGGCCCCGCCCATAGCGAGAAGGATCATCATATGATTCAACAAAACTATGAATGGATCCAATAAGATACTTGTAGACAGTTGGGAAATTGTAAACTGGAATACAGCTCTCAGAAAGGAGCACAAACCGCTCATTTGAGAAGTCGAGCAGGGCATTGGCCAAAAGCCGCCTTTCAGCATCAACCAGTGTTACTGATCCCCATTCAACATGCTGAAAAATATAAAGAAAAATAGTTGTATTAGCTAGATAATTATGAGTTATACTTGTTATATTTGCACATCACACAAACACAGGATTTCAAAACACTTAGTTCATTTAGAGAACAATTCCAATGTCCATCAACTTTGAATCTACATCCTGCAGGATTTCTCACTCCAGCTAAAACCATTTAGTAGATTGACAGGTTGAAGAAGCAAGAAAGAAAGATCCACGTCTCTTCCTATCTGCACCAATATCATACACCTAGCCCAATCTAATAAGTACACCAAATAACTCGGTATTCTCTTAGGGGGTTCCAGTAACATAACTCAAATGCATTCAACTTGTAAGCTCAACCGATAGGACTGTTGGTAATATCATAAATGGATTAAACTCAAAGTTATGGCAGTCGCATAAACTCATCTACCTTCTTCTCTTCTTCTTCCTCTAAACTGATTAGCTCATCCAGAAGATTTTTTTTTTCTTTTTCTTTTTCAATTGTACTATTTTGCACTTGATGTGCACTGCACATGGATAAGTAATTTAACCAACAAACTGGAAACTTCAATTAATCAGAATCTATATAAATTAGATATTAGCTAGAATAAGTTACTTGAAGGCGTTAATAGTGCTCTGATCGATCTGGATCCGAATTAGTTTTCTATTGGTGTTGCTTCAAATTTCCACACTAGCTGACTCTAACAGAAGTCCATGTAAGCCCAAGGATTTAAGTGAAAGGAATAAGGCTAGAGTTAGTGTTAATCGGCAACTAATGGAGGTTCACCTTTTAGCTCCTCACTTGAATTATGTACCAGACTGCAACCTTCATGTTCCAAAATAAACTCACATCTCCTTCTTATCAGATCTGAAGGAAATAGAGGCGCAGCCAGGATTCGGTTTATGAGGCTGAAGCTGGTTTTATACATACTTCTTTTTACATGCATCTACAGAATGCAGTCAAATATATGAAATGTGTTTTACTTGTATCAGATATGTATATACAAATATGCGCGTGTGAGTGTGTATTTTCTGGTAGATGGTGGTGCTGCATTAGTTAGAGATTTTAGATATCACCACAGGGATCAACAGAGAAAATATAAACACACAGGAGTAGTAGAATTATTTTGGGGATATAGGCCCAGAAATTTTAGAAGAAAAAAAAAGACTCTTCCGAGCCCATATCGGCTATAGCTTTAGGTTGAATCTCAACGGATCCTAGCAACAAGACTCTGACACTTACAATACCCCATAATGTAGGAGCCCCACGCCCATAACTTTTCTACTTATAATTGTTCCCCCCCCNTTTTTCTTATTTTGGATAAGAAGCATAGCTTATCTGCTGCATCACTGTTTTACTCTCAAAAATGGAAATTCAAGCAATGAGGCATCCCTCTGACTCACATCACACGCTGCTCAATCATTCCCCGAACTACCTCTAAGGCTAGAAAAACATGTTTTCAGATAAATCAAATCTACGGGTAGACTGACTAGACATTCTCCGTTATATCTTAATGAATGAAAAGGCTCTATGAGAATTGGTTATGTCTTTGCTTTTTCCAACTATCACCATTGTAAATTCAATAGCCTGAAGATTATGCAATGAATCAGCAATCAACTCATATAATTTCTATCTCGTGTCATTTTGGAGAAAACTAAATCACACTTCACACAGCTCAATAGTTCAAACAGTAGTAGTTTATACAAAATCTTAGCCAACTTTGGTAGTAGACAGCACCCATCAGTAAATGTTTTAAAGCATCTTCTCAGTAATTTATCTCAGAAGAGTAATATGAAGATGTTTCATCATATTTTTCTTTTATGTATATTGTCACAAAACCAAACTACTTCCTCAAACTTCTGACAGACAACTGAAAAATTCAACATTTGCGTCAAAGGAACTACTACACTCTTGCTTAAAGCATCAACTTAAACTGCTCATTAAAGAGTTCAGCAACCTTATAAATCGTCGATGGACAATGATATGTCCTTTTTTACTTCCCACCTAATATGAACTTCACTATTAAAGAACATAAGTGTCCTTTCAAAATGAAAAGAGCTAGCATGCATCTTTTGTGTGAAATAAGAGTCGTCTCTCCACTATAATGCATTCACACATTCCATGTGAAAACAGAACCAAACTAACACATTCTTCTATGAATAAAAAAAATAACATATGCACAAAAGAAAGCATTTCCTAGACTAGCACACAATAAGCATGAAAACAACATCAACCAGACAATCTTCAAATTCATGTCAGCAAAGAATCATATATACCTGACTTGGGATTTGCCGCTTGTAGAAAACTGAGGTATTTGAAATACTCAGCACATATCCTGGTAAAGCATGCACATATATAGAGTACTTATTCACATCCTGTCCTTCAAAGAACCTTTCCCACAACGGTATTAACGGTAATTGCCCTCTAGTCAAGAACATAAAAGCTACTTTAGGCACTCTCTTAAATGGAAACTCCTCTTTATAAGGCTCTAATGAAGCCCTCCAAAACAGTTCATCATCAGACATTCCATGAATCAAAATCTTTGGCCTAACAAAACTTTCCATACTTAAACAATCCTCCTTCTCACAAACACTACACTTTCCATTATTGTTATTATTATTAGCTCTGCTCACTGTATCAGCCAATGCATTATTTGCAATAATTTGTTCAGCTTGAAAAGTAAAGTACCTATCAATATGTGAACTTGAGGTCAATCCAATAACTACTCCAACTACAAATACAATCAAAGTTGTTAGTACCTTTAAAAGACTAACTGTTGAATCTCTTGTTACTGAAACCGGCAACCTACTCTCCAGGTCATTCTTTTCCCCTTTATTCCTCATCTTCACCTTTCCTTCCTCCAAAAAAAAATCTAACTTTTTGACTCTCAAGATTCTAGAATCATCTACAGATTCAACCTTTTACAAGCAAGATTCGAAACCCAGTTCCCAGAATTGTGAATTCAGCTTTTGAATTTGAAATTGAAGAAAACCCCAGATGAAATTTTGCTACTGTATTACAAGAAAAAGAAGCAAAACAAGAAATCTTGATGCTTTTGGATTGTGATCTATAAATCAAGAAAATGGGAAAAAGTGAAACAGGCTAATTTAGGAAAGCAGAGTTAAAAATTGGAAAGCGGAATCGACAGAAATAGAAAAAATGGAATGATCGAAGGGAAGGGGCAAAGGCGGCAAAAAAAGATGAAGAATTCGACACAGTGATTTGACGATGACGATATATATAATGAGAGAAGATTAATGGAGTGTTTTAATTGCCACTGAGTTTAATGCTGTTTTTCACTTCGAATATTGCGCCTCTCCAATTTTGGTCGTTTCTCTCATGGTAATTGGTAATGGCTTTGACAACTTTGTTCTTTTGTCCGCCATTTGTCCCAAACTGAACAAGGAATTTTGGACAGGAGGATCAAATTATTTAATTCGGATAATTACTCTTTTCATCCCTCAATTATTGATAAATCAACTATTATCAGTAGTTATATTTAGATATTTTGATAAATATATTTTCCTCAAAATATGGAGTTATTAGTACAAGGCTAATAAAATGCATGAGCAATTAAATGATTTAACAGTTACTAATTACCAAATTATAAAAATCATAAGCAGATGGACCAAAAGTACATATATATTTTACCAATATGCCTAATCAGATATCACAACGGTCAAAATTTACAAATATTTCAGGGACTAAAAGCGAATTTTTTTAATTATTGTTTATGTCTGAACAATAATTATATCTTAAATGTCTATTTTAATGTTATATGAAAAGTAATATAAAATTATCTATGAATGTGGTGGATAGTTGGAATCCCTCTCGACTTATTTCTCTAGTTCAAGCGTCGGGATTGCAAAGCTTTTCTGATATGGACGGGAGCATTTTACCTTCCTAATAGACCTATTCAATACGAATTTAGATAATAATACCAGCGTATTTCAAATGCCAAATATCCCAATAACTATTTATAAAAATTCCTCTTCAACAAAAGAATTTCATAGTGGAAAAAATAAAAAAGGTGAAATATGTTTCTTAAAACTTTTTTAAAAACCAACTAAACAGAATTTTATGTCTTAAATAACAAAAACTTTCCAACAATAAACGAATTCCACTTGCAAGATTATTTCTGGCTGGAAAGTTGTGGAAATGCAGAGAGGTTGCAAAATGAGGGAGGGGAGTGGTAATAATTTAATTGAAGAATAATTAATGTAATCTGTTCCTAATTAATTAGATAGTGCTTTACCACTACTGGAGCATACTCATTGCAAGTCCACCTGTCCTTCTTTGATATCATCTCCAGCTGCTATGAGTTGTGTGTATTTATTTGTAAAAAAAGGAGGCTGTTTAATAAAGTAACCAAAATTTTGGATTGATATACTCTAACTCTTAACAAATTAGGATAATTAATAGATAATCTTCATTAGTTCCCTAGTAACTGTGTAATCATATGAATCCTTTTGCAAAGGATGGAGTTCTATACTAATAAGGAGATTGAGTACAAAGTTGAGTTCAACAAAAAAATTGCTATTAGTACTATATAATTGAGCTCTAGTCAACTCTATTTTTATCGACAATTTAATGAGATTACTTACTCCATCCATCCGTTCACTTTTACTTGTTCACTATTTTAAAAATATATTTTCACATTTATTTGTCCACTTTCGCATATCAAGAGAAAAATAATTTATTTTTTTTGTTTTGCGCTTAGCATTAATTACTTATTCCAAATTATTTTCCAAATCTATTAAGGCTATACATCAATTAATATGAGTATCATGATAAATTATATATTTTATTTATTATTTTTTAAGGAACATGCAAAGTTAATAGTGGACAAGTAAAAGTGAACGGAAGGAGTATTTTTCAAATGTAATAAATGAGAGGCCGAACTTTTTACCTAACTTTTTATAACTTAATAAATGTGTGCAGTTAATAATTGGGAATTCCGATGAACCAATTTACACGAGTCATTTAAAAAAAGTTTAGAAAGACAGAGCTGGAATAAACAGTGATTTGGTTTTATTTCAAAATCCATTTTTTCTTGGTTATATCTAAATGAAGACGTGGTTTAAAAATTATGGATCAAAACACAAAGTATCAAATCTCTGATCCGAACGCCATATGTTAATCCTTTAAGAAACCTTAATCTTAGAGATAATATCGTAAGTTGAACAAACTTCTAAGTACTCTACTTCTTCTATTTTATAATATAACACCATTATTATTTGAGAAGTTAACAATTTTTTTCGATAAACTATTTAAAATACTTGTTAAATAAGCCACTTGACGGTAAGGAGAGGACCACCAGCTAGCGGATCGGAAAGATTTATATGGAATGTCCTACTCTGTCCCAAGAAAAAAAATAGACAAGCAGATGCCTTTGCAAGACGCTCAAGATCTATTTCTGCTTGGCTTGGTTGGAATGCTTGCCTTGGGGCAGAAAGGCCGGGCTTTGAAAATAATTACTCTACCCTAGGTTTGTTCATTTGGATCGGATATCCGAAATTCGAACCGATCCGTTCAATTTCGGATTTCGAATTTTGGATTGGATCGAATTTCAGATTGTGTTTATTAAAATTTCGGATTTCGGATCGGATTCGGATTGGTATAATTTTAATACGATCCGATCCGAAATTATTAAGGCATGTATAAATTCTAAACTTTAATTCGGATAATTAGTACTTCCTTTACATTTTTCTCCAAGTTATTACCTTTACAATTGATGGACTTAGCTCAATTGGCACCATAGTACTCTCATAATTGTATAAACATGAATTTTTCTTACTGTACTGCCTCTTTTACAAAGAAAATATACATATGAGTTTGTAACTTTGAGACATAATAATCCAATCCGAAATCCGAAGATACGATCCGAAATGCGCTAAATTCGATCCATGCACAACCCTACTAGTCTACCCTACGCGAAGCACACACCTCAATCACCCTGCCTGTGTGAATTGAACGAATTTAAAAGTACAACCAACTTAAGCTGGGTTTTTACTTATTTTTTAGTGTTCGGCCATTACTAACAAAGTCTAAAGGTCATATTAAAGAAAGCCCTGTATGGATTGAAGATGTTGTTCTCCGAACCTTGTTTGTTATTGAGCTGTGGTTTATAATACATCTCATGCAAGTTTTATATATGTATATGTTATTTTTAAATTAAGAAATTAATGTCCGAACCTCAAATTAGGAAGTTTCACTACTAGTAAAAAATTATTGAAGTCACACTCTTCTTAAGTTCAACAAAATATAAGCCTGCTCTAACTGCAAGCTTCTGAACACTTGCGGGATTACTTAGCACTTTGCAAATAATTTGATTTAAAAAAGGCATAAATTAAAATATAAATATATATCACTTAATTATAGATAAAAGATAAGATAACGTTTATATAGTAAACAAATGTCTTTGTAAATTTGGTGCAATCACTGAGTATAAATAAATACGTGAACAATCCCAGTTTGATAGCATTTATTTAATAATGACAAAGCTTCTGATACGTTTCTCGAGGTTATTAATTTGTTTCAGTTTTTATATATATATATTAGATGAGCTACTTTCCTTTTTGGTCTGTTACAAAATAAATGACACATTTCTAAATTTAGAAATAATTCAACTTTAAATTTTTTATTTTACCCATTTTACCATTAATGAGAAACTTTTATAACCATACAAATATTATGGCCCCACAAAACTTTTACCCCTTAAGCTTTTAAGATTATAAATTTCAAAAGTCTTTTTTTTTCATAAATTATGTGTTAAGTCAAACTAACTTATCTAAATTGAAAACGGATGAAGTACACATATATATTTATATATTATTAGTTAGAAGCAGCACTTTGAGAGTACGAACACTGTATTAGTGTGAGTACGAACACTGCATTAGTAATAGTACCAAAAGTAACATAAAGTGTCAATAAATTTGTGCTGAATAAAGGCTGTAAATATGGGCCTATTTCATTAGCTTTTTGTTTTTTCCCCTCTTTAGACTTATTTTGTTGGGTATTTAACACGTGTATGTGTTGCTTTTCCGTAAAGCCACATGATATTCACTGTTCTTAGCAGACAAATTCTCATTTCACTCTATGCAATTTCTCTCTTCTGGTGAGTTTTTTTTTTTTTTGTTAGGATTTGAAATTCGGATAGTGCGAAATTTAGCTAAATAATATTATAATGATAATAACAAAGATAATAGAAGTTGATAATAACGATAATTAAAGTAGATAAAGAAGACACAAATTTAACGTGGTTCGGTCAAAGTGACCTACGTTCACAAGCGGAGAGGAGCAATTTTACTATACCAATAAGAGTACAAAAGAGAGTACAAAATTAAAGTAAATACTCTAATTAATTCCAAATACCCTAAGAGAATAACCTCACAAGATCACTCCAAAGAAAGGGTTCACACAAGTGCTTCCCAATACTTAACTCATATACAAAACACTCTTAATAAAGGAGGAGATGAAGAAATAAGAAATGAAGACTCAAGTCTTATTGGTATATCTAAAATGAACTAATTGCCTTCCCTTTTATAGGCAAAAAAATTTTGGCCTCTTAGGTGTAAAAGAAGAGATACAACTTGTACAAATGATGTCCACCATACAATGCAATATTTTTGGGTCCCAAAGAATATTGCCAACAAAGTCTACACTTTGCAAAGATGCTTATGTGAGATGGACTCCATTAGCCAAAATATTGGCCATATTACAAATCTCCACCTTGGCCTAATTTTGACTGATATAATAAATTTGCTCCACCCTCTCCGCAAAAGCCCCAATGGGCATATGTCAAAATTTAATGCCATCAAAATCAGATAAGTTGTCTGATACCGAAACTGTAGTAGGGCCTATAACAATGGATCCCAATAAAGTATACAACGAACCAGATCTGTGTGCTTTCATAATCACAAGAGCATCATGAGAAACTTTGAGAACTCCACCTTCACCTGTGTACTTGCACCCAAGAGATTCTAGAGTACCCAAAGAGACGAGATTTTTCTTTAAGTCAGGAACATGTCTAATATCGGTGAGAATTCTCACCACATCATCGTGCATTTTGATCTGAATTGTACCTTTGCCAATAACGTTACAAGTAACATTATTACCCAGTTGGACAACTCCACCTGCAACTGAATCATATGTAGAAAATAAGTCCCTGCTAGGACACATATGATATGAACAACCGGAATCTAAAATCCACTCATTTTCTGATCTGAAACTAGTTTCAGTTGCTAAAAATATAGTTCCCTCAATCTCATTAGTTGCTACACTAGTTTCGGTGGTGTAAGTATTTTTGTGCTCATTTTTTCTTTCTTTATGCTTTTCTTTATTTTTCAGTTTATAACATTCAGAGATTATGTAACCTTTTTTTATGACAATAATGACACTCTAAATTATT